GCGGCCGAATCTGAAATCGATTGATGTTCTATGATCATTAGGATTAATATGATTTTATGGCGTATTTATCTAAAATGTGATTTGGTGTGATTACATTAGGCTAAATGGTGTTAAATTGCATAGTTGGACTTATTTGCCAAAATGCCACTTAGTGGCCCACTATATGGAACATTTGAGACTTGCCTTCATTCTATTTTGTACACTTCATCAGCCTTGTTGAGTGTATAACCGGCTAGAGAGTGAGGGAGAGTGAGAGAAGTGAGTTCAACTTGTTTTCATCTTGATTTTGCTTGGAGGCTTAGGGAAATTGAAAGCTTAAGTGCATAATTAAGCCTCTAGACTTGTAATTGAGGAACCTAGATATGAATTTCATCCTCCTTATTGTGTATTTAAGTTCCTTCTAGCATGGATCATGGTAGTTTAAAGCGTTAAGTCAAGAATTGGTTCAATAGTGTTGAATTGAAGCTTAATTATTGCATGCATGGCATACTCTTGCATTTTAGAGCTTGTTCTTCATGAATTTGCCACATGCATATCCGTGTTTTGATCATAAACCATGTTTTCACCTTGTTTTTGTAAGAGTTAGCTCATTTGAGCTTGTATTGAAGCTTTGAATTGGTTAGATTCATGCATGTTTGCATGTTTTTCATATTCTTGAAAATTGGGTTGAAATTGAGTTGTTTGAAATACCATTGGGCTTTGATTTTACAACTGAGCTTTGGAATCATGTTAAACTATGAGTTTTGGGATGTTTTCTAGAAAATTGGCCCAAGAGGATCGAAATTAATGTTTTAAAAGTTGAATTTGAGCTTGAGGTTCAAATCTGGGAATTCCAGATTTTGAACTCACGCTCGAGCGGGGTGACTGGTGCTCGAGCGTGGAAATCGTGCTCCCAGCATTTTGTTCTGTTTTTAAGCCAGCTTGAGCGGGACCTTGTGTCTTACGCTCGAGCGGGTGTCGAGTGCCCAATCGAGCGTGAATTTCACCTATCTAGCACTTTTGACTGTTTTGAGGTACGCTCGAGCGATTAAGTATGCGCTCGAGCGGTTGAGTATGCGCTCGAGCGGAAACCTTTGTCTACATTTCCGCTCGAGAGTGACCCCTGTTTCTGAAAATTCTGAAAATGCTTTTAAAGTGCATCTTTGCATCCTCATCTCATCCTAGGCATTATTAGGCCTAGTTTAAGGCATCTTAATGAGGATATAGATATAGAACCACACCAAGGAAAATTAGGGATTAAGTTATTATCTTCCCAATTGTGTAGCTTAGTGTGTATTCAATCTGTAACTGTGTAGGGTTGGCGATTGGGGACGCGCTCTAGCTTTACTGTAGCCCAGAACTCTGTGAGTAACAACTGTGTAAAGATATGTTCAAAATGATTATCTTCTGAACAAATGAATTGTACTGCTTTCTGAACTGATACTGTTAATTGAATGAATGTATGTCCTATATTCTGAACTGTATTGTGGCATCCTTAGCAACTACTGTTTACCGTTACTGTTACAGAGATCTCTGTCGGTTCCCTTGTTGGAACCACTACTGTTACTGATTGATGGCCATCATTTACTGTTCGGTCTTTTAAGACCTACTGTTTACTGTACTGTTATGCTAATGAGTGTACCACATATGACTGAATGACTGATATACTGAATTAACGAACTGTTTTCACTACTGTAAGGACATTCATTCTTAATCCCTTTATGCATTATGTTATTCACTGGGCTTTAGCTCACTACTTATATATATATGTAGGTGTACAGGCACCAAACCGTGGTTAGAAGCGTCAGGGTGAGCTCCAGTTTTGTCAAGCCAGCCACTGTGCCTCACTGCGAGGTTCCGAGCCTGTCAAGTTATGGCTTAGGGGTGTTTTAATTTCCCCGTCTGTCTCTGTATCGGTTTATATAACTGTATAGAATGTTACTGGACTGTTTAATAGGGATTAGGTCCCTGAACTGAATGATTGTTAATATGTACATACTGTCCTATACTGTTTATGTATATGTGTATGAAAAGTCTTTTTGGCATACAGACTGTCACAGCTCATTGGACATTGTTTATTTACTGTTTTGGCTTCCGCCATGCCCCTGTACTCTGTTTTACTGTATTACTGTTAAGCAGGTCTTCGGTAATCTCGGATTACTAGCCGGTTACGGTACTAAACCCATAGGGGCGGGTTTGGGTCGTGACACCCAGGTAGGTCATTTGGAAATACATCGGGAAATTCACAAGCAACCGGGATAGTTTCTACCGTAGTTTCGTCAGATGGTGCAGTCAGTATACAACACAAGTAACCTCTACATCCCTTTCTAAGCAGTTTTGTGGCTTTCAAAACTGAAATTAGATATGGGAGAGAAACTAACCCATTCCCAATAAAAGTAAATTCAGGCATATCCGGTGGTCTAAACACAATAGTTTTATTTGCACAGTCAATGGTAGCACAATATTTAGTCAACCAGTCCATTCCCAAAATACAATCAAAATGATCAATGTTCAAGGGTAATAAATCAACATATATAACATCACATCGCCAATCATAATATCACATGCTGGATAAACATGAGGACACATCATAGAATCCCCAGACGGTGTGGATACAGATAACACATATGTCATACGTTCTAGTGGTCTAGTTAATTTTTGAGAGAAAGTATGCGATACAAAGGAATATGTAGAACCAGAATCTATCAGTACATATGCATTTTGAGAACACACAGAGAGTGTACCTGACACCACAGTATAGGTGTTTGGTACGTCACCAGGCACTAAGGCGAACACTCCCCCTTGCCACAATGTTTCATTATTTGCATTCCCTCTAACATCGGTCCTTGCATTTGGTCTTGCTGCGGAAACAGACCTGGTGGAACTTGTCATAGGGCGGTTAACCTCGTTGGATCTCATCAGGCAATCCCTCACCTTGTGGCCAGTCTTGCCATAGCGAAAACACGTACCTGATGCTCGATAACAAGCACCTCTGTGCTTCTTTCCGCAGTCGGGGCAGTTTGGAGTAGATCCGCTACTTTGGCTAGAGCTGCTGGAGGATCCTGTATTTTGCCTCTTTGAAACTGACTGGCCTTTCTTGAAACTAAATCCGGTCCTCTTTCCTCTCCATTCTGTTGTTGGTGTTGTAGTTTGCTTCTTAACTGCTATTGTGGCTTATGCCATCAATGCCCTGTCGAGTACCTCTACACAAGTAGGTAATTTTAGGACACCCACTCGGTCAAATACTTCCAGGTCCAGCCCTCCCTAAAACTTCCGTGCTTTTTTGTAATCAGTATCCACCATATGTGGAGCAAAACGTGCCAATTCGATGAATTTGCCTTCATACTCTGCTACAGACATTTTTCCCTATTTAAGTTCTTGAAACTCGGACACCTTCCGATCCCTGAAGTATTGGGGAAAATATTTATCATAAAAGATTGCATTAAACTGTGCCCATGTCATATTCTCATTGCCACTTCGAATCAGTAACCACCACCTTCGGGCTTCATCTTTCAGAGTATAGGTGGCTAGGAGGACTTTCTGAGTTTCAGAACAAGGGAACACTTCATATAACTTCTCTATTTCAAGTAGCTACGTCTCTGCTTTCAAGGATTCAATTTTGCCATAGAATGTTGGCGATTTCATCTTCATGAATTTCTGTGTCAGATTGATGTTGTCATTATTATCTGCTTCGGTTAGTGCTGGTGGAGGCGGAGGGGGCAAGGGTTGTTATCTCTGTTGTTGTGTCAAGGTTTCAGTCAATGCTGCTAACATCTGTTCCATTCGGCCCATGCGAGCCTCTGAAGATTCACTTTCACCACTTCCCCTTGCATTCTCCACCTTACTATACAGACATCAAATGATAATAAACACAGGCATAATCTTATTCGTTTCCTTCAATTCATTTGATTCAAAATTACGTTCAATTTTCATATGCAGTTGAATTACCACACGCTCACATATGCAGATGGAATGCCCCTAATGCTTACTAGGACATCCTAAGCTCATACGGACCTGTGTGTGCGGTAGAACACGTGCTTTGATACCACTCTGTCACGACCCAAACCCGCCCCTGTAGGTTTAGCACCGTAACCGGCCAGTAATCCGTGGATTACCAAAGGCCTCTGAACAAATTAGCAAATAATAAGGGCGTTGTGGAAGCAATAATACAAAATAGATAAGGTCCAATGAGCTGTGATAACGTACATGGGACAAAACATTTCAAAACTTATTTATATATACATAAACATGCCAGTCCAGATACACAATATTTACAAGGTATTTACAGAATGTACTTCCCAAGACCTAACTTTACAGAGCATACACAAAGACTAGCATGAATACAAAAACAGCCATGGCATTAGGTTTCATTCGGAACCTTCTCAGGAGGCACAACAGTTTTGCTGACAAAAACAGAACAGAAGGCCGTCAACTCTGGCCCTGGTCACTCGCTGGCTCACCTACATACATAATATTCATTGGGCTTCCACTCACAGTTTATATTATATATATAGGTGAGCCGGCGGGTGACCAGGGCCAGAGTTGACGGCCTTCGGTTATGTGTTTGTCAGCCAACTGTTGTGCCTCCCGAGGAGGTTCCGAACGAAGCCTAATGCCATGGCTGTTTTTGTATTCATGCTAGTCTTTGTGTATGCTCTGTAAAGTCAGGTCTTGGGAAGTACATTCTGTAAATACCTTGTAAATATTATGTATCTGGACTGACATGTTTATGTATATATAAATAAGTTTTGAAATGTTATGTCCCATGTACGTTATCACAGCTCATTGGACTTTGTCTATTTTGCATTATTGCTTCCGCAGCCCCCTTATTATTTGCTAATCTGTTTAGAGGCCTTTGGTAATCCACGGATTACTGGCCGGTTACGGTGCTAAACCTACAGGGGCGGGTTTGGGTCGTGACAATACGTACTAAATTTGGTCTTCAAATTGGAAAATTATTCATTGAATTTTGTTTCTGTTCTAACAAATACCAAAGCACTCCAACTATGCATGAACTTATCTCATTTATCTTTCATCTCAAAAACATTCTTGCACTTCATCAGAACATTCTTGCTAATATGCCATCTACATAAAAGATTAGTGGCTATATGTAGAACTTTTGATATACCTTTCATCAAAGCCAACTCTCTATTTGTAATAAAGACATTTGGAAAAGCAGTATTCTCCATAACAGTACGCAATACGCCTAAAGCCCATGTATAGTTGTCCTCCCGTTCATGACCAAGATAAGCAAAAGAAACTGAAAATGTAAAGTTCGTTGATGTTACCCCAACAATCTCTAAGAGAATGAGTCGATACCTATTAGTCTTGTATATGCAATCCCTAATCAGCACATGTGGAAATGCACGTAACAACTCCAAACTAATCCGGTGTGCCCAGAACAAGTTAGCCACCATCTCTCTATCATCACATCGATGCCACTCAACATAATTTTGAATCGACAATTGCCTTAATAGTTGTTGCATCTGTGATCTTCCCGTCCTCTGTACTACTCGATGTCGATGACGTGCGTTGTAGATTGTCTTCATTGTTGTTGCATTAAAGGCATCTCTTTGTTTCAATGTAACCAATATCTCTTTTGGTCGCACCATACTTTTTGACATGTCAACTAATAAGGATGTTTCCTCCTTAGATAATCTACCAGCAAATGAGTGTCCTTCAAGATGTTCAGCAGACGGATAATTATGCACTCCGCATAAGACATACAATATCCACTTATCATTTGTAGGTAATTTTTCCCCCCTTAATAGTAACATACATCCACACTTTTTAGAACCTGTCAACCTCAATCATTCTCCCTTGATCTTTTTATTATCTCTATAGTAACTACTTCTTTTATAAGTAAGGGTAAGTCTTGGTTTTCTGCCATTACTTCCCGCATCTGATGTCTTTACAACAATGGCAAATCTAGTCTTCCTCCCAACGTTAGAAGCCTATTTAATTAATACTTGACGATTACTAAAAATCTAAACATAATAAATACCGTCAAATTATTAATAAAACTCAATACAAATTAAAAAAAAAAATCGTATTCATAAAAAAACTTAACAAATCTCGTCTGTAATGAATCCATGACTGGAGTCCACTAATAATGCAGTACATGCGTTATTGCAATGAGTATTAGTATAATCCTTCCAAGCAAAAAAAAAAGAAAAAAAAAAAGAAACTTAACATACATGGCAATGAGTAGCCGAATAAATTAAAAAAGTCCAGCTTTATATTACCAGAATTGTATGTTTTATTCGGCAGTTGGATACCAGACTTATATTTTTTGTTCGGTAGTTTGATACCGGACTATGTTATTTTGTTCGATTTCGAAATACCAACCAGCCTAGAAAATCGAAACAAAAACCTACCAAGCAAATAAAAAAAACTCACAATTTTACTTTTTTTATGATTCTTCACCACCGTTTCTTCATCTATTGCTTTATTTGATGATCAAAACACTATGATTCTAACTTTTTCAAAAGAGATGTGTAAGAGAAAAGAAAAGTTGAGAAAGGAAAAAGAATAGGCATTGAAAATTAAGGGGTGTAAAGAGCTAATCAAATATATTTAATTTTAGTATTTTGTCCTTAAAAGTAATTTCACACATGAATAAAATTGAGAGAAAAAAAAAAAAAAAACTCATATGAAAGATGTAAAGAGATAAAGTAATGGTGTAAGTAGAATCACCTTATTATTTTTAACAGGTTGAATCGAAAAATTCTTCACTTGTACCAATCTACACTTTTATCCATTAAAGAAACTAGTTTTGACCTACAAATTTTTCATTGAAAAGGCTCATGTGCATAATATTTGTCAAAAACACTAATATTTTTATTTATTGAACCAAAGTGAAACAAAATAAAATATTAAAGGGCAAAATCAATTTAATTGAAATTGTTGGAATTAACACTAGTAACAAAGTATAAAGATGACTAGTGTAATTTTTGGAAATAAATAATTCTTTAAAAAATATATTTCCAGAAGTAGTAAAAATATGAAGGAAAATTTACATATAAATCTTATATGGAGGAATGTTAATCCATTTAGTTCTAAGAGTTTTCTTATGAACCAATTAGTCAGTTTTGTTTTAGAAAGTTATATTTATTTGATTTGATGTCATCTGAGTTTAAGTGATTGCCCTTTTGTGATTTTTCTAATTTTTTTTTTAATTTGTTTTTAGGATGGGAATGGAAATGTATGGTGTGAAAGATTCTTTTTGGAGAAATTGATGGTTGAAGTGTTGGTTGTCGAGCGTGAAAATTTACATTTCTACTAATGTGGTTTTCTAATATTACATTGGAGTATTACATTAGAGTGCTATATTTGAAAAAAGTACACTAAAGGATTTTAGTACGTTACATTGATTAGAGTATTATGTTTAAGAAAAATATACTATATAGTTTTTTTGGAATGCCATGTTGTTATGTTTGAGAAAAGTACACTAAGGAATTTTTTAGTGTGTTGTATTGTAGTATTACGTTTGGGAAAAGCACACCAAGAAATTATTGTGTGTTATATTAATTGGAGTGTTACGTTTGGCAAAAGGTATCCGAAGGAGTTTTTTTGGAATGTTCCATTGTTACGTTTGAGAAAAGTACACTAAGGAATTTTAGTGGGTTACATTGGAGTGTTACGTTTTGAAATGTTACGTTAATTTGAGAAAAATATACTAAAAAGTTTTTTTTGAAATGTTACTGTACGAGCACGAAATAATTGTCTTGTATAATCCTGTTGATCAAGTCTTCACTTCTCCAAATGTCGTCGTCTTATTACCTGAAAATACAAACGTGAGCTAGTTGACAGATGTGTGCCAGAAACCCCTCTGATGCCTAAGTCAGCAAGTAGACAATAGACAAAAAGCTTTGCGTCTTTTTGAGTAAGAATTGCAATACTTGGGAACAGGTTTTGTCATAAGCTTTTATAAATTTCGCGTGACACAATCCTAGTAGGACTCTACATCTCCTTAGCACAATCCTCCTAAGAGTCACATTATTTTAGGATACTGCTTACCCTCCTCACTGCGAGCCAAGTAAGATGGCAAACACTCTGTTCGGTTGTCAACATCAGACCGAGCTATTTAATCCAATCTTGCATTTGGCAGAACTATGCCAACCCTGACCGCCTATGGTGCGCTACCGAGCTATAGCTAGCTCAGTCTTCTTCCCTGCCATATCGGTCATTCGTGGACCATACAGAGGTAGTTAGGTCCAGGCCCTAGAAGTCCATCTTTGGCCAACCTAGACCTAGTTCTGCCTAAGATCGTGATGTTTAAGCTCCTAACTTGACCTATAATGTGGCCCAACCTCCATAGATAATTAGACCTAGATCGGCCCAATTCGTTACACAAATTACCCTCTCAATTACGTTTAATAATTTTAATATTATGAGAAAACTCACATTTCTCCTTCAACACACAACATACGGGCACTTATACCTGGCTTTTTATGTAATTTACACTAGAATAAGATATTTGGGTCTACAAAAAAAGAAAAAAAGAAAAAAAAAAAGAACCGAACAATTTATAAGATCATTATTTAAAATTTATTAATGCTTTATCCAAGTATGAATTTGGAAGCCAAAATATTAAAATTTGGCCAAAAAAGGGCTTCTCTAACTACAAAGTCATGAGTTTTGATAATTAGGCCATTTTGGATATTTGAACTAGAATTTGAGTATCCTGGAGTACTATTAAATGCAACTTAAAAATATTCTTAGATAGCCACCATTTCATGATTTTATTTAGGGAGACTGATTAATAAGTCTTGTATTTTGGATTTGTGATTCATATAGTTTTATATTTTTTTTTTTGCGATCCATTTAGTCCTTTTAAATATGTAATGATTTATTTACCCGTCACATTGGAGTGTTATATTTGGAGAGTTTCGCTAGAGTGTTACGTTTAGAAAAAGTATTAAGGAGTTTTTTTAGTGTGTTAGTATTACATTGAAGTATTATGTTTGAAAAAAGTACACTAATGAGTCTTTTAGTGTGTTACATGGAAGTATTACGATTGAGAAGTTTTTTAGTGTATTACGTTAGAGGAGTGTTACGTTTGTGAAAAATATGTTAAGGAGTTTTTTAGTGTAGTATGTAATGTGGAGTGTTATGTTGGAGGAGTTTTTTCAGTGTGTTACGTTAGAGAGTTGTTATGTTTGCGAAAAGTACACTAATGAATTTTTAATGTGTTAGTGTTACATTGGAGTGTTTTGTTTTTTTAAAGTACACTAAAAAGTCTTTTAGTGTGTTACGTTAGAGTGTTATGTTTGTCAAAAGTACACTGAGAAATTTTTAGTGTGTTACGTTGGAGGAGGGTTACATTTGGAAAAAATACACTAAATTCGTTTGGGAAGTGGGTTGGCTTTTTGGCTTTTTTAGCCTAGGGCTAAAAAGCCTCGTTTGAGAAGAGATTTTTGACTTTTTTGACTTTATGTGAGAGAAAAAATGTAATGATTATAGGTTGGATGTGATGTTTTGTCTTATTATGTTAAAAAACCTATTTTGTCTTTTTGTGGCTAAAATAGTCCCCAACCCAACCCAACCCAACCCAACCCAACCCATCCCATCTTTCCAAATGAAGCCTAAGGAGTTTTTTTAATGCAGTGTGTTACGTTTGAGGAGTTTTTCAGTGTATTACGTTGGAGAAGCGTTACATTTGAAAAAAATACACTAATGAGTTTTTTAGTATAGTGTGTTACGTTAGAAAAGTTTTTCAGTGTATTACGTTGGAGGAGTATTACGTTTGTAAAAAGTACACTAAGAAATTTTTTAGTGTGTTATATTGGAGTGTTACGTTTAGAAAAAATACATGAAAGGGTCTTTTAGTGTATTACGTTAGAGTGTTGGAAGAGTATTTTAGTGTTACGTTAGAGGAGTGTTATGTTTTTTAAAAGTACATTAAGAATTTTTTTTAATGTGTTACATTGGAATGATGGAAACGTGATCCAAAAATTGGAATTCCACTTCTTCAAGATGGCGTCCCCCAATGAGGAAGGGTATAAACATCCGTCAAATCATACCAAAATTTAAAATAGGATCTCATAATAAGGTTGTCAAAACAAGAGGATCTATTAGTGTATTAGAAAATTCATGAGACCTTTTGAAGTAATTGATTCCCATATGGGACTTTCTGATAATTTTTCCTAGATTAAACCATTTAATCAATTTTTGCATTACTCCAAGTTAAAATTAATATTTTTTTACAAACATACCAAGCCGTCCCCGTGCTCTACTTTTTTTAAATTTTATCATATCGACGTATCCATACTCGCACCTGTACACATACCTGTGCTTCATAAAATTTTAACAATATCACTATTATATCATTCTAAATGAGTTTTCGTAGTAAAAATTATATTTGTGAATCATTTGTATATTTGTGTCTATATGTGTATCTTTTATATTTATATATGTTGCTAACAGACCAAGGTTCCATTTGTATTGATGGATTTGAAATACGTTAATCATCCAAGGAGAAAACAAGAAAAATAGCCTAAATTTAAATATAATAGTTTTTCAAGTATTTCAAGACTACATTAAAAAGTTTTATTGTGGTGTATTTGAAATATTTGTAAAAGAAAGTAATTATTTAAAATCTTTTTTTAACTACAAAGAAGCTATTAAAATACTTTTTGGGTTCTTTTATCCACCCATAATAGCCAACTTTATAATATTTTTATGAAATTCAATTTCAAATCCTTTAATTTGAAATTCATATCTATTCAAACGAAGAAGAACAATATTTAGTTCACTCATGACCAACCAAAGCTAT